TCAGGTGACCATCATGATTGACGGCCTCACAAACCTGACGCACACGCGAGTTGTCCAGAAGGCGTGGTTCATGTCACCTATTTTGGAAAAAATGGTAGAGGATCCTATGTTTAAGCGATCAGCTGGACTAGAGTCTTTTGGTAATATCTCAGACCTCCAAAAGCAAGCTGCCGCAAGTAGACCCTGACCGTCTGACCCTGCCCGTCCGCCCGCCCGCCCACCCACCCACCCACCCACCCACCCGCCCACTCCAAAACAGGAAGCCGGTCTCCTCAGAACGGAGGCAGAGAGATGGCTGTGAACTCCAAAAACCGGAATTCCAAACTGGGTTGCCCTGGTGAGTGGACACATTGTTTAGCATGGGCACCAAACCCTGCGGCTTGCCAAAGACCTCCGATCGTTGAACATTTTGAGCCACACCCAGCTGCTCAGCGGATGCCCCAAGCGCGGAGGGCGGGCGCCGGGCGCGCGAGCCAGGGCACCAGCGTGGCGGCGCTGAAGCGGGCCATGGCGGCGGAGGATCCCACGGGCCTCTCGCGCCCGGAGGCGGGTTTGAGGAGGGCGACGGGGCGGGTGGCGGGTGGCTGGGAGGAGCTTCCTGGCAGTGTTTGTTCTTTTCTTTTTCTTCTTATTATTATTATTATTTGTTTTGTTTTTCTTCTCTATATATATATTATATTATATATATATATATATTTGTTTGGGGGTGGGGTTGGGGCTGGGGCTGGGGTCTTGTCAAAGATGGCAAGGTCGATGCTGAGGGACAGTTTCCCTTGGCACATCCCGAAATGGCCCCAATGTTCCAATAAGTGAGCAAAAATACATTCCACGCCAGAGCCAACAAACACACCCACACACCCTCATGAACATTTGAACTTGTTGCGATTATGACGCAATGTTCTGCATCATGCCAACTCAGAACTACTTTTGTGCAGATGACACTGTTCGTCTACTGGTCTATACAAACAGCTTTCATGCATCTGTTTCCAAACTTCCAAACCAAAATGGATCTGACAGAAGGCACTCCATTGCCTTGGCACCAACCGGTCTTATGTTTCCACAGGCTACCAGACTCTGGGAGCAACCGCTCTCTTTGATCCAGAGCTCGGTTCCCAGCCGTCCGGTTCCCAGCCATCCGGTTCCTTTTTGGTGTTTAGTTGTTTTGATGGTTTAGTGGTTGGGTTTCCGAATTTTACCCCAGTAAAAGATGGTCACTGTTAGCCGGTTGCCCCGTGGATCCCGCCAACTTTGTGTTCAGCTTGTTTTTGGGAAGGGTTCCCCTTCAAACTCAACCAACCAACCAAGACGGATGCCACTTTTGAGCTGGGCAGTCGGTCGCCAGGACTTCGAGTTAGGCCTCACCGGGGGCTCGCAGCGGCCCTTGGCCGGCGACGTGGTGCGGGAACCCAAGAACAAATCCACCGGAAACTCCTCGGTGCGACCTCCTGTCCGACCTTCGGAAAGTGCATTTTCCGCGTTTTTGGGGGGTAAGTTGGATTGGCAGGGGTCAGACGGTCAGATCAAGACTCTTGGGGGCCAACAAGCTTCTCTCTCTCTTAGTCGCATGGCCATATTTCGGGCGAGCAAGTGTGGAGACCTTTAGAACCCAAAAAGGCTTGACCCTCTGTTCCCTTGCTGAGAAGCGAGGGGAGACCCCCAGTGCAGCGGACTTCCCCCCCCTTTTCTTGAATCAGCCAAAAAGGGCATAGATCGATTTGTTTGGTCTCCATATGAGAAAGCACGGGCAAACCTGAGAATAGACTAAGTTGTCCAACTTCAGAGAGAGTTGGGTTGCAGGATCTTTAGCAAGCCGGGATTTTTTTCAGGGAAGAAACATGAACCTCAACATCGTGGAGATTCTCCTGTTTCCATTCGAGAGAGCCCCAATTTTGTGACCTTTGCATGTCTCAGTTTTGGTCTGTCAGTGGCAAGTGAGTCCATCTTGGCAGGGTTTAAACGCTCGTTTTCTTGGGCGAGGGTTCTCTTGTTCAGACTCTTTCCTCTTTCTTGAGTGAGGCTTTTCATGCGTCCTATTTTTTGTGAGATAAACTTTTGCCCACAACTTTGTAAAGATGTGAGAAACGCTTTTGGATGCTCCATCTGTGGATTGTGCCTTGTTCGGGGAAGCAGCATGTGGGCACGCATCACTTGCTTCGTCGCCACGTCTGACAACAGCAACTTGCCAAGCTACAAGGTGACTCGTTCCACACCTCACACATAAGTTGAAATGCTTGCTGCTGGAGATGTTGGTCTGGCCAGACCCATGGCACTAACTGGTTTTGATTGTGCTGTTGATACCTCAAACATTGCCGGCTCTCCGCCTCCGTCGCTTCACTGCCCTTGCTTCATGTGGGCCAAGACTCTTGAAACGGTTTTCTGGGCGGGCGTTGGGTTTTGTCCTTGGCCGCCCTTTGGCTTTTGAGCGGCTGCTGCAGCAAAGGGCGGTGATTTTGGCCCGATCACCGCTCAATGGCGGTTCGCATTTTTGGCTTTGCCAAGCGGGCAGATCATAGCATCTTGGGCTCTTGGAAGGGTTCGAGCCTCAGATGTGAGCATATTTGGTGGCAAGTTTGCGAAATGGCTCCCCACATGGGTTGGTTCAAGAGCGAATCTACTTGGCGGTCTGGCGAAGAGAGTCTCTATCTCTTTTTGCAGGTGCTCTCGGATCTTGGGCCGGGATCCGAGATGTCGAAAACGCTGGTTTGGTCGGCTGGGCAAACATGGGACTCAGGGGCAAACGCCATGGCCATGGGTGAAGAAATTCTTGCCATGAAGCCAGGGTCTACCGAAAGGAATTTTTGAGAGCTTGATGTCTCAGAGACATGCGTTGCCAAAGGGTGAAAGGGGAAATTATCGAAACCTCCAGTTTTTGGCTCCTCCGGCCAAAAAGGTAGGTTTCCTTTTGGCTTCCTTGAAACACCGCACGCAAAGGTCTCTCCACCCGGGACCAGAAAGATGCGATTGGGAGGTCCCTGTCGACCACCACATCGCCGAAATGGTCCCGGCTTGTGGGGGTTTGGAAGTTGTCTCGCCCAGACAGGTTGATTGATGGTATATTGGTAATACAAATCCAGCGCCGACATCATATGGTCCAACCCAACAGCTGTGATATTCATACTGTGGATGGACAACATCCTACACCACTTTGAAGCCATTGGAAACCATTGTTCGTTGGTTTTTACAGGGAAATCATCATTCCAGGGATTTTTAGGTGGTGCAGGATTTCGTCCATCCACAGTATCACAATTCAATCATCCTTTGGCCTGACTAAACGGCCAGTTTTGTTAATTCGGCATGGGTAAGCGCCCTCTTTCTGGTCTCTTCGGTCGATCTTTCCCCGAGGGTCAGCCAGCTGGACCTGCTGCCAGCGTGGGTGCAGTGAACCCGATGAACGCTGCACGTATGCAGCCCGCGTTTGGCGCATGGCAGGACGTTCTTGTTGGCAGTTTTCTTCAAGGAGTACCTTCCTTCCCAAAGAGCCATTTCGATTTCAAGTGATTCAAGCCTGTTGTACCAGGTCCAAACTGAGGTTTCTTTTGGCAAGGTGATGGTATGTGATGGTGAAAGGGAAAGTGCAAGTACTTTGGCACCTGCCACCTGAAATCGACTTGTTTAATGACCAAAGCAAGTCGGGGATTTGGGTGGTTGAGGGGCGCGTGAGCAGCTCTCCCTGTCTCTATCTATTTGTGTGCCCCTTTCTCCCTTTCTATTCCTCTGGTGGATGGCCTGTTCATCCAATTGAAACGGCGGCCCATCAACAGACGGCCCAACGAGTTGCCAGCAGCGACGGCTTGACCTTTTCCGCAGCTTGGTTCGTCAAATGGCGAAGACCTCCCAAAGATGGAGCGGGAACCTGCGAGCGAGAGGGACGGGGAATCAAAGCGAGGTGGGCGAAGTGGTCGGAAGTCCCACTTTTCAGGCCTTTCCAAAGCAGGGATTGTGGCTGTGGTTGGAATCCGCGAATCTGTGATACAACGAAAAGGGATGAACCCAAAGACTACCTCATATAAAGGGGGAGATTCCCTTGTATCACAAAAGTGGGGCTAAAGCCCTTGATCCCACCCTGTTCCAAAGAAGCCAATGCTGTTTGTCTCACTTTCATGGAGTTGGTTTTCCATAGGACACGTCATAATTGGGCGCCGCCTTGCTCTTCTCGCAATTGCGCGGCTGCAAGGGGGGGTGCCCAGTCAGGTTGTGACAGCCCTTGATTTGGCAACCGGACATCGCGCGAGCTTCTTTTGGTGAGTTTTCCCAAAGTTGAAAAACATCCAGGAGTTGTTGATGTCCCTTTTTTCCCCCTCAAAGGCCAAAACAAGTTGAAAGGGGCTCAGAAAGAACCCAGTGGGCATAGGTGTCCTTTTTAGGTTGGTTTGCATAGAAATCGATGGGTTCCACTGGTTTAGACTGGTTTGCCCCCCAAAAAACAGGGAAACAGAATCAATTGTTCCAAAAGGCCACCTATGCCCTTGTGGGACAAACAATTTTGGGTCACGCCCCAAGGATTTCTCAGCTGGTCCAACTCAGCCGCCTCGCGCTCGCCTTCGAGAAGCGCGAGCGAACCCCGCGAAGGTTTGCCGAGCGAAGATTTGCCGACGGAAAAGAGCGAGGCTGATCCTTTCCGCGTGCAGACATGGTCAAGTGCATTTTGCATGCGGATATATATATATATATATGTATACATATATATATATATATACACATGTATTTATGTGGCTGAAATAAGTTTTTGAGGGTCTGTCCCCAACAGGTCGGGGCCGCGAATGCAGTCCCAGGTCTGTACAACCTTCTCATTCGTGAGAGGTCCTCCCCCACTCCCCTCTGAGAAGGTCAAGGTTGCCCGTTTGTGCGGCATATCGGGGTAGGGGGGGTTGGGGGGGAGCGTCCTTGAAAACTTGGTCCGGGGAGTTGCGCTTTATGGGGTTGGCTGTTGCAGTCGTCGAAGTTGGTCGAGAGGAGGCCACCGCCAGCTCCTCAGCTCCTCAGCTCCTTCGCTCACCCGCAGCGCCAGCCTGGTTCAGGAAATCGTCCCGTCCCTTCTTTGATCGCCATGCCCTCCAAGCGACACGGCTGCTTTGGTCACACCTCTTTCCACGATCTTCCGAGGGTGCCAAGATTGTTCTTGAGAGAATGAGGGATCCCTTGAACGCGGGGAGGAACCCCCTCTTTGGGGTGCCCCTTTGGTTTAGCCCCAGTTCTTCGTTCACTCTTTCTTGGACCTGATCGAAGACTTGTTCACTGTCCCTTGGACCTGACCATTTGGTTTAGCCCCAGTTCTTCGTTCACTTTCCCTTGGACCTGATCGAAGAATTGTTCACTTTCCCTTGGACCTGACCATTTGGTTTAGCCCCAGTTCTTCGTTCACTCTTTCTTGGACCTGATCGAAGACTTGTTCACTTTCCCTTGGACCTGATCATTTGGTTTAGCCACAGTTCTTCGTTCACTTTCCCTTGGACCTGATCGAGGACTTGTTCACTTTCCCTTGGACCTGATCATTTGGTTTAGCCACAGTTCTTCGTTCACTTTCCCCTTGGACCTGATCGAAGACTTGTTCACTTTCCCTTGGACCTGACCATTTGGTTTAGCCACAGTTCTTCGTTCACTTTCCCTTGGACCTGATCGAAGACTTGTTCACTTTCCCTTGGACCTGATCATTTGGTTTAGCCACAGTTCTTCGTTCACTTTCCCCTTGGACCTGATCGAAGACTTGTTCACTTTCCCTTGGACCTGACCATTTGGTTTAGCCACAGTTCTTCGTTCACTTTCCCTTGGACCTGATCGAAGACTTGTTCACTTTCCCTTGGACCTGATCATTTGGTTTAGCCACAGTTCTTCGTTCACTTTCCCCTTGGACCTGATCGAAGACTTGTTCACTTTCCCTTGGACCTGACCATTTGGTTTAGCCACAGTTCTTCGTTCACTTTCCCTTGGACCTGATCGAAGACTTGTTCACTTTCCCTTGGACCTGACCATTTGGTTTAGCCACAGTTCTTTCGTTCACTTTCCCTTGGACCTGATCGAAGACTTGTTCACTTTCCCTTGGACCTGACCATTTGGTTTAGCCCCAGTTCTTCGTTCACTTTCCCTTGGACCTGATCGAAGACTTGTTCACTTTCCCTTGGACCTGACTATTTGGTTTAGCCACAGTTCTTCGTTCACTTTCCCTTGGACCTGATCGAAGACTTGTTCACTTTCCCTTGGACCTGACCACTTGGTTTAGCCCCAGTTCTTTGTTCACTTTCCCTTGGACCTGATCGAAGACTTGTTCACTTTCCCTTGGACCTGACCATTTGGTTTAGCCCCAGTTCTTCGTTCACTTTCCCTTGGACCTGATCGAAGACTTGTTCACTTTCCCTTGGACCTGACTATTTGGTTTAGCCACAGTTCTTCGTTCACTTTCGCTTGGACCTGATCGAAGAATTGTTGGTTTCGCCCCCATTCTCTGGTTCTTTTTCCCTTCGACCTGATATTTGCTGCTCGGGAAGTGTTGCTGTGTTGCTCAGGCGCAGGAACAACGGCCGCTCCAAGCACGGCCGCGGGCACACGGCCATCGTGCGCTGCTCCAATTGCGCCCGCTGCGTGCCGAAGGAGCCGTTTTTTTTTATAGAACCCTGGTAAAGGGAAACATGGACTAAAACCTGCGGTCCCCTGGTGGTTTAATTTTGCACCACAGCCATTTGTATCCCGGATTCAGGAAACGTTTGTGTTTGGGATAAGCTTTGCTGCGAGGCTGACCGGCAGTAGAGACCCGGCCTTTGGCTAACACTCGGGCGACTCGTATGTGAATACGGACGTTGGCAGCCCTTTACCAATGCCAGTCCTCGCTACTTGTAGATTTTCTAGTGCCCGAGCCTTGATGCCTGAAAGCCTAAGCATGTTCAAGCCCTACTTGGTTGGATCTTTGGACTTCAACTTTTTGGGAAACAATGGATTCTGCATTGGATCCTCAAACAGTTTCTTTTTTTGCAGAGGGGTCAACAGCAACCAAGAAGCAGCTGCTCGATTATGAGTGGGCCACCCACTGCACCAAGCGCTTGGTTCGACACTTTGCCCGGGCCCTTTGTACACAGCCGCACCCATTCAGGGATCGCTGTTGAGGGTGTAGGACCAATACTTGGTGGTTCCAAGGCCACAAGGATCATGTGAGCCACAATCAAAAACCTGGGTAGATGAAGGTTAGTAAGGGACAATCCCAACTATAAATAGCTGCGGCCGCCTTCTTAATTCTTTACATGGTTCTAGGTGGACCATTTTAGTACCAGGTTTTGACTATGATTCATGTGCCCTTTTGTGCCCTTTCGTGCCTTTTGGTTGGGACCCGGCCATCTCTTTCCGGTAGGGCGCGACCAAACACATCTTCTGACGTGTACGCCGTGCAACGTGGGTGGGGCTCCTTTGGAGATGCAGCGTCAGGTTTCCCACATCCAGGCCGCTGGCTCGCGCAACCAAGCATGAGCTTTGTGGGCCAACATGGAACCCACCAGAGGGTCCCTTTTAAAGGAACCTCGTCTTCCCAGACCCCACCAGAGGGGCCCTTTGCCTGCAAGTCAGAAGACAGTTTCACTTGGTCATTCTCGTCTCTTTTCTTGCCGCTTAGGGAAACAGAATTGGATTGACTCCCCAAAACACCATCCAACTGGTGTTTTTCTTTTTTTCCCCTGGAACCAAAGCCGACTTGTCCATTCCATTTCGCCTGCCCTATCGCCACCAGCCATCTTTACGGCAGACTCCCGGCTCCCGCCTCTCGGCCGTCAGGACAAGGCCGTGAAACGCTTCCAGGTGAGGAACATGGTGGACGCCTCCTCCCAGCGAGACTTGCGCGAGGCCAGCGTGTACCAGACCTTCATGCTCCCCAAGCTCTACATGAAGATGCTCTACTGCCCGGGGCCTGAAGTCAACGACCAACAAAACGGACGGCTCCCTTTGAAGTTGTCTTTCTTTTCTTCTTTTCTTCTTTTTTTCTTTTTCCGGACAGCTGGGGGAATGGCAGGGCCTTATGACGACCAAAAAACGGACGGCTCCCTGGGGAAGAAAGACATTTGGCCGTGGTCAAAGCCGTCTTGGGATCCCATTTCGGGGGGTCGGTGAATTCACCACCGGTTGGGATGTTCACTGGGGGTACGGCGGGTTTTGACCCGTGGCCATATTTTGCCGGACGGCTTGGGAATGGAACCCGGGTTCTCGGCTCCAGGATCGGACACGGGCTGCCATTCTTGGGGGACTCTAAGCACCCGTCGAGCCTGACATATTCTCAGACGGCAAAGCTACGAATCATGTGAGCAGGAATCTCCCTGAAGCCCACGGGTTCGTCATTTTAGGGAAGAAGACGCATTTCTCAATGTTTCTGTTGAACTCTGACCGTGATCCACAGGAGTTTTCAGCATGGCACTTTTTGCGCTTCCCCTTTTCAGCTTTGGGGCTGCTCTTACCATGTTTTATCATATTGCTACTATATTGCTACCATATGTTTAACCATATTTTCACCATATTCTCACCATATGTTGACCATATTCTCGCCGGGGGTTGGGGCATTGCTTTAAACTTTGGCCCATGCTTTTGCAAGTCCGGTCAGGCGTCGAAATTGGCAAGCGGCCATGGCACCCTTGTTCGCCTTCAGGGAACGAAAAAAAGGAGCTTCAAAGAGGTTCGGCACCACAGAACAGAAGCATACAGACCAGAAGGGCTTCCTATACATAACACAATTCTACACTACATGCACATGTAACATATATACACATAATGCAAAACTAGGCGCTTCTACGTCGGACGCCCTTCTGAAGCCTGTATACTAGGCCATGATGTATTGCACATTGCGTGGGATGGTCAACCACACCCCGGGGGTGATGGTCATCGAGCCCGGGAAATAAACCCCTCGCGGCCCGGATTTTTTGGGTGAGACACCGTGGGAGGGCGGCGAAGTCCAAAAATCGCGCCACTTGAAAAGCCATTAGAAACCAGAGCGTTTGTTGGTTTTTACCGGGGGATGGTAGCACCACTTTCATAACATTTGTTGGTTTTCTAGCGGGGTATCATTCAAGGGGTTTTTACGCGGTGCGAAACGGATTTCGTCCATCCCTCGCGCCCGGCTCCGCGCCTCGCGAGCCCTGAGAGACTTGAGGCGTGTCCTGCGCGATCCACGGCCGCGTGGTGCGGGTGCGCAACAAGGTGCTGCGCGCCAGCCCCGAAGGCCGGGCGCGGCATCAAGATCAAAGCGCGCGTGTGTGTGTGTGTGTGTGTGTGGTGTGTTTATTTTTTCTCCGCGGGCTTGATTGCAAGAGGTGAGGTTTCTTAATGCGGATGCGGGCGGGAGGGGGGAATGGGAACGTGCGGAGGAGGGGTGCTTGAAGGCGAAGGGCTGAGCTTGAAAGCAGCCTTTGTTCAAAACAAAGTGGTTGAGTTGGCAAAGTTTTTGAGCTTTATGTAGGTTTCTGCATAGGTTGCTTGCTTGCTTGCTTGCTTGCTTGCTTGCTTGCTTGCTTGCTTGCTTGCTTGCTTGCGACGCTTGGTTGCTTGCGTTGCTTGCTTGCTTGCTTGCTTGGTTGCTTGCTTGCTTGCTTGCTTGCTTGCTTGCTTGCTTGCTTGCTTGCTTGCTTGCTTGCCTTGCGTGCGTGCGTGCGTGCGTGCGTGCGTGCGTGCGTGCGTGCGTGCGTGCGTTCGTGGGTTCGTGTGTTCGTGTGTGTGTTTTTTTTCTCCGCGGGCTTGATTGCAAGAGGTGAGGTGTCTTAATGCGGATGGGGGCGGGGGAAGGGGGAACGTGGGAACGTGCGGAGGAGGGGTGCTTGAAAGCAGCCTTTGTTCAAAACAAAGTGGTTGAGTTGGCAAAGTTTTAGAGCTTTATGTAGGTTTCTGCATAGGTTGCTTGCTTGCTTGCGTGCGTGCGTGCGTGCGTGCTTGCTTGCTTGCTTGCTTGCTTGCTTGCTTGCTTGCTTGCGTCGCTTGGTTGCTTGCGTTGCTTGGTTGCTTGGTTGCTTGGTTGCTTGCTTGCTTGGTTGGTTGCTTGCTTGCTTGCGTGCGTGCGTGCTTGCTTGCTTGCTTGCTTGCTTGCTTGCTTGCGTGGCTTGGTTGCTTGGTTGCTTGGTTGCTTGGTTGCTCGGTTGATTGCGTTGGTTGGTTGCTTGGTTGCTTGCTTGCTTGCTTGCTTGCTTGCTTGCTTGCTTGCTTGCTTGGTTGCTTGGTTGCTTGGTTGCTTGGTTGCTTGGTTGCTTGGTTGCTTGAACATGTCCGGCAGCATCCGGACCTGTTTCTTGCTGATGCATCCAAGCTGGCGTTCTGTGCTGCTGCAGGTTGCACTGTAGGGACAGATCAAAATCAACCAGGATTGTATCGCTAGGTTCTCTTCAGGCAACTCCAGATTGAACAAGGTTTTTTTACAGATGCCGGGCTCGTCGAACGACTCATCTTTGCAGATTCAGCGGATGGCAGGTCGTATCTACAAGCCCCCCATGGGCAAGGCGGGGGCTGACCAACGGTGTGTGTGTGTGTGTGTGTGTCAACGCGAGCCGGCTGTGTATCAAGGCCAGTCGGCTGCCTCCAGTGCCTTCCTGATATTTCTGATTGGGTCTGCCCATCGTTGTGGGTGTAGTTTAATGTAATGAGAGTGCCTCACCGGCAGCTGCTCCATGAGTGGCCGACTTTGAACTCAACTTGCTAGTATGAGCGTTCCGAAACAGAGATAAATGTTTGGCTTTGAACGCCATTCAACAGCGGTGTCACAATGACTCGTCCCTGGTCCGGTGGATGAAAGAGGAATACAGACCAAACCTGACCTGTTGGAGACTCAGACGGTGTCCTGGTCTTGACACATACCGTGAAGCTGCCGTTGAATTGTTGAGGCACTTTCCCTGAAGTAGTGCTTGATTCAGGGAGCGTGACTCGTCATGGATTCAAGCCAATGATTGATGCATCACGCTAGCCTTTCTAAAGCCGTGTTGGAGATTTCATTTTTGGGGCCCAGCATCCTGTTCGTCAGCCCATGCATCCCATTGAAATAGGGTCCCTTCAAAGCCACACGGCAGTTGATCCCTGACACAGCTCACTGTTGCCAGCCGGATCACGGGAGCGAGATGACTAGTGCCACATGGACCCATAGGTCCCGATGCTGCGAGCCGGTGGGGTGCTTTTTGTCTTGTCGGAATTCTTCTAAAATTATGTGGCAACGTGTTGCGTTAGGTTGCGTTTTGAAGCATCCAAACATGCTCCTTAGAGCCATTTTGGAATGTGTTAAAACCTCTTTCACCTTCCAAAGCACACGATGGGGGTAGTTCTAGCGATGTCTCCTGCCAGGGCGGCGGCAAGGGCAACTGATCACGCCAGCATGGCAGCAGCGGGAGGGAGGGAGGAACAAAGAGGAGTGCTGTGTGCAAGCCACATGCGGATGGTCACATGGGTGTGGGTCGAAACCAATGGTACCATTTTGGGGTAGGTGCGTCACCCATTTTAGTCTATTTTAGTGGGGATTGGGATGTTCACTGGGGTACGGGATTTTGACCCACAGCCACATACACGGTCAAGCCTTGCGTACAGGGTGTGTCACTGATTTGCAGCCCTCTGGCATGTTAGGGGGCCATCACGTTCTCATACGTGAGACAGCCTAACACCCATCATGCAGCGAATCATGCATAACTTTTCATATGCCGTACACTCTGTTCGAGGGAATGACATTAGAACGCAATTGAGGTAGACATGTCTTAGAATGAACCAATGATGATGATGACGATGATGACGATGATGATGACGACGACGACGACGATGATGATGATGATGATGATGATGATGATGTTTGAAAGGGCAGCATATTCATATTCAAGTGGCAATTAACAATTCATGTTGTACAATCTACATTGAAAGCCACGTGCATGTCTCAAATTTGCTGTTATCACACGTTTGATATGCATCTGTATACGTATGGACACACGATGGTTCTGCCGAAGCATACACCATGCTTGTTCAGTTTGAATGACTCTCCATACATGAACTGCTAGTGGCATGTCGTTGAACACACCAACACCAAGACCTGTGCGCACATATAGGATCTACCCGTTACTTCTTCTAACATAGTCATGGTGTTCAAACTTCTGGGCATCTGAAGTATTCCATCCGCAGATATGCCAACTCATATTGCACCGATTGCTTGAAGCAAGTCAACGATGCTAACATGCCCAGCGTATATGCATATTAGATACATAGTATAGGAGGAAAGAACGAAAGAAAAAGAACCAAAGACAAATACAGAAATAAAGAAATAAGACGATAAAGAAGGAAAAGGAAGGAAGGAAGGAAGGAAGGAAGGAAGGAAGGAAGGAAGGAAGGAAGGAAGGAAGGAAGGAAGGAAGGAGGGAGGAGGGAGGGAAGGAGGGAAGGAAGGATGGGAAAGGAAGAAAAGAAAGAGATAAATAAATATAGAAAGCAAGAAATAAAACAGAAAAGAAAAGACAGAAACAAGGAACTCAAGAAAGAAATGACTAAACAATGAAGGACACAGCATACATAAATACATAAAACGATAGATTAATAAAGAACTCGAGAAAGAACAGCAAGAACAAACAACAAATGGAAACACAAGCAACAAACACAAAGAACAGAGAAGAACATAAAGAAAGGAAGGAATGATGAGATGATAGATGATATATAGCTAGATACATATACATGTGTACGTACACACTTACTTTATGTCATAGTGTGTTTGCTAGGCAGCGAGCGATTCGAATCTGGTATGTTCCAACAAAACGGACTCCCATGCCGGCTGCTTTCTCAACTCCCCACAAGGCTGCTGGCCACGCGTTCCAGAGCTTCTCCCAGAGACTTCCAGACCCTCAAAGCCAAGTGGCTGCCAAGCAGCTTGAAGACTCCAAGTGGGTTAAGCACGGTTTTGTTCACCGAACGGGACCCTGGCCCCATCCATCATGGGGAAGCCAGAATTGCCTTTTTTTCATTGTTGGCCTAGGCCCCGGAGCCATGATGTTTTTCCAGCTGCTCCTTCCAATCTACGTCTACTTTTGTGAGTTTGGGGGGAGGTACTCTCGAAATTTACTTGTACCATACTTGTACCATTCACCCTACATAATTTGTTTTCTTCTTATTTTTTTTGTGGAGCTTGGCCCTGAAGCAATGCTCCCGGTCTAGGTGCCAGCTTGTCAGGCAAAGGACATCATGGCTGGCACTTCTCTACCCGCTTTGAAGTTGGCAGTTTGGATTGGGGGTTTGAATTTGGATTTGAACCCCTGGTTCTTGTAGAGCGTGATTGGGAAGCGACCCCTTAACAACCAAACCACCACCCAAAATGGAACACTGGTAAATGGACACTTCAACTACAACCTGCGGTCCCCTGGTGGTTTAATTTTGACCCACACCAAAATCATCAACTAGGGGGAAGCTGAGTTGAGACCCATCAGCACTGGCCCATGCTCCGTCCATCGACCTGCCTTGGCTTCAGCCGGGGCTGAAGAACATTTTTCCCCGAAGCTTCGCCGAGATTGTTTGTTTCAAGCAGAGGCCGACACAGCGAAGACCGTCCGGAGCAGTGGCGAAACGATTTGCCCCATATGTAGGGGCCATTGACCAAGTTGGCAGAAACGTTCACAGTCCGGTCCGTTTGATTGTGTGTTTTTTCTGGGTCCAGGAAGCCAAAACAGGCTGGATCAGTTCGCTTGGATGGCCGCCACCTTGCGCTTGGACCGCTTCGACACTCAGATGCAGTGGAAGGGTTGCAACATGCTGGGGCTCGCATTGGGAAAAGCCACAGTAATGGACAACACGAGCAACCAAAAACAGGATCAAACCACAAAGTACATGTTCTGATTCGTTCAGATGAGCCCCCATTCAGCCATTGCTAGATGTCAGCCTGAACATTCCGTTGGCTGGCAGCCGTCAACCGCGAGGAATGTATCACAATCAGGCCGCAGGCCGCCTTTATGGATATACCCCAAAGAGCAACTAGTTGTACAACACAGACCTGAAGTGTGCACGATGCCCCCACGATTTGTCTAGTCGGTTTAGCCGAAAGGGAAGCTCATTTCTTCACCCGGAATGGTGAGCTTCCTCAGCAGGTCCCAAAACCTTGCTCATCCAATTGGCAGGGAATGAGAAATGCAACTGAGCCCCGTGCCAACCAGCTCTCGTGGTTGCCTTTAAGGACATCCCCCGTCCTGTTCATTCCCAACATCCGGAGGTCATTCGTATAGGTGTCCTTTTTGGTTGGTTTGCTTAAAAAATAGGTTGGGCGATTCCTGGTTTACCTGGTGGCTCAATCATCTACCAGCGAAATCCATCTATGTTCCCCAAAAAAGACACCTATGGTCCTTCACCTCCCGCACTCGCAAGCGGGCGTGGGTCAAAATCAAACCGGGACCGCAGACTTTGGTCCGTGTTTCCACTTCCCAGGGCTTACCGCCACTTTGGGGCGACCCGATCTGTGCCCGCGGCCGAGTCGGTTTTTGTCCAGCGCCTGCTGTGGCGCTCGCACCGCTCGGCGCGCGCGCGCGCGCCGAGGGGGATGAGTCGCTGAGCCCCAAGAGGACGCGCGGCCCGGCGAGCCCCAGCAAGTCCTCCACCACCAGGTCTGAGCGGGGGCGGGGAAGAGGGGGGTGGGGAAGGGGGGCGGGTTGAGGTTTGGGGGGGAAGGGTTGAGGTTTGGGGGGGAAGGGTTGAGGTTTGGGGGGGAAGGGTTGAGGTTTGGGGGGGAAGGGGGGTGGGGCGGGTTGAGGTTTGGGGGGGAAGGGTTGAGGTTTGGGGGGGAAGGGTTGAGGTTTGGGGGGGAAGGGTTGAGGGGGGGGGGGTTGGGTTGGGGGGGGCGGGTTGAGGTTTGGGGGGGAAGGGTTGAGGTTTGGGGGGGAAGGGTTGAGGTTTGGGGGGGAAGTTGGGGCGCAGATGGGTCGAGGGTTAAATTCAAGCGCTTTCAAGGGTTCTCCGGCACGTGCGTGTTTCTGGTGATACCCAGAGGTCTATTTCTCGGAAAGGCCGTCTTCTTCGGGGTTATTGCATAGGCAAAGATCGCAAAGGCACAGTGTAAAGGGTCCTCACGCAAAACACTTACAGGAAACTCTGGGTGTTCCTTACTTCTGTCCAGCTGTCACAGTCGGGTGGTGAAGAGAATCTTTTAACCCCCTCCTCCCCCCCATTTCCCATTATTTGTCCATTTGTTGCAGCCTCCTGTTTGAAGTTTTCAACACTCAACACCTGAGTTCTTAGGAGACGCCGACTGCTTTGGTTTTGGTGGGGGATCAGGAGAAAATTGCAGGCAGCAATAGGGACGGCCGTTTCTCTACACTGCCTTGCAACTCGTGCAAAGAGAAAGAAAAACACGCTGTCACAGTCTCGACTCGTCTCTCTCTTTGTGTTTCTTCTTTTTTGTTTCTCCTATTTTTCCCTGTCAGAATTTTGCAGATTGCACTTAAAACTTTGTTGTCTTTCTATGTTGTTTCTCTTCTTTGTATTGGTTAATATTCTTTCCGAGAGAAACATCTCAGATCACTCAGTTCAAGCCATTTTTGGCGAGCGCCACAAAGGGACCCCCGGGCTCCGCCGATCGGCGGGCTCCGTCCCTCGGCTCCGAGCGCCAGGGCTTGGAGCGCGCCTAGCCTGCGCGCCGGGGTGCCCATAGCACCGGGCGCGCGGGCAGGGCTTGTGGTGGGAGGGGCGGAGGGGCCATGCCATGGGAAGCGCCGGGGTCGACACGTGGCCTATGCTCCCCTGGCGATTCCATGGAAGCTCCCAGGATTTTTTTGGAAGACTGGTTCCAGTTAGTCTGAGACCTTCTGGGAGCTTCCATGTTGGTCTGAGGGAGTGAAAGTCAAGTACATGAAGAACCGGCCATGAGAGGAGACTATTCCAAGCTTGTAGGTTTCGCTCATTTATCTGCAATGTGGAATCCAGAGTCATGTCCATCCCACGGAGAGTTAATTCCGCGCGCTGCCATCACTTCCGCTTCACACAGCACCAGCTAGCATCTCCAGACTTACCATGTATCGTTGCTGCTACTTCTGGGGTGGGCGAGCAACGCACTCCATTCGCTCCCTTCAGCTGGCAGCTGCCTGCCTGCCCGCCTGCCTGCCTGATTCGGTCACATCGTCCGATCCATGTAGTGTTTGGGCGGTCTCATGTTGAAACCGTGGTAAAGAGGTCCAGCCTTTTTGACACAACGCGAAGCGCGGTTTGCCGATGGGCCAAAGTCGGGAATCTCTGAGAGCCCATGACAGGGAGGTCGTCTCAAGGTGGCGTTTGAAGATGCGAGCTCATGTGAGCCAAGTGGGCTTTACTTTTACTTCTCTTTTGGGCCTTGCAGGGGAAGCCCCGCCAACAGGTCTGGCTGGGATTGCTGGAACCCCCGGCAAGTCGCCGGTGTTGG